TGCCTACTACTGTAAAACAGACATTAAGTGGGAAAGATAGGAATATCAGGAAATAAGGTTAACAGCAATCTTGTAAGCCTGTCTTCAGTTTAAAACTGATTGGACTACCTAAAAGGGGTACTAGAATTTGTCCAAGAAAATAGGTTTCTTGTTAAGCCTTTGTGGAGTATGGAGCCTTAGGTGGAATCCTGAGCCCCACCTAGAACTTTCTGGTGAGGGACGTTCCCACTTGAAAGGACATGCAAACCAACCGGTAGCAGCAAGAGTAACAGCAGATATTTCTTGAAAGATAGCAGACTGTTTGGCTGTTAGACAATCAAGCAAGCTGTTCACCTAGGATCCATCAAGACAAGACAAGTTGCCCATCAAGGTAAATCCCCTTCCAAGACTGAAACTCAAAGGGAACACCTGAGCAAACTTGTAAGCTCACTGGTGATTGCCCTGGTTCATTCTGGTAGCGTAGTGGTTACGAATCGGGCTGCTAATCTCATGGTCAGCAGTTCGAAACTACCAGCTGTTCTGCAGGAGAAAGATGAGGCTTTCTGTTCCCATAAAGATTTACAGCCTCAGAACCCCTGTATAGGGACGCTATGAGTTGGAACCAATTCTCAGCACATAACAACAACAACTTGGGCGTGGAAGTGGGGGAAAGGCAGCAATGAAGACATGGGCTGAGTTTGACCATGTTCCATAGATTTGTTGCCCTTGAGATAAGAGAGAGAAGAGGAAGGACTGGTTGGTCTGAAGTTTAGGGAGACCTGTGAACACCCAAACCCATGGACACTGACCTAACCACTTGGGGCTAGCAGTGAGAGTGAAGGGGCCAGCTGTTCTGAAGTGGGGGAGGCATGCAAGAGTCCCCAAACTTGCAGATGGCATCCATTTGACCTAGCTTGGATGGCTAACTAATCAGAACTCAACCAGAGGAAGATAAAGAAGTTTGATATAGGAAGTAATCATCAATTGCTACAATTTGATGAAGTGAAATTTTGCTTATGGATGTAATTGTTCAAAATGCTAACTGAGGGGGAAGGATTCTTCATATCAAAGATCAAACCCATCCTCTCAGTACAGAGGGTTCATAGGGACAGGCTACTTAAGACACTGGCTACCAAAACTGGGAGGCTATAAAGGCATGAAGTGACTGGCTTACAAGCTTTCAAGAGTGTACTTGGTTTCAGAACGAGGGGGCAGGGTTGACTCCCCACTGAATAGCTTTCCTCTTGTCTGGATGGGTCTGGTCAAAGGGGATGGAGAGGATACGGATAGGATTCTTTTGATTCAGTAGTAACTGTTATCATGACTAATTGTGATTGTCACAACTGTAAATGTAGAAGACGTGAAACCTCATCTTTCATTCCAGGAACAGAGGACCCTAGCACCAGCAAGAGGGAAAAGCAGGAGCGGAGCTTGGGATCCTAACCAGAAAAGTAGCCACAGCAGAGATGATGGCAGAGAGAGAGACAGCAGTTGAGGACTCTAAACCCATGGAATAAGAAAGGGCTGGCTTGCAAAATGTGCCCTTTGGACATTTTAAATGAATATATATTTTCTGTGTGTTTTTTGTGCATTAAAAAAAGGGCAGGGGATAGAGACAAATACTGGTGCATGCATGAAGGGGATTACAATGAAACAAAATACAATTGTTGAGTGTAAAACCAATGATCTGCCCTATAAACTGTCACTCACTTCACAATAAACTCTTTAAAAAAAAATAGTATAGTCACTTTGGAAAACAGTTTGGTAGTTCCTTAAAATTCTACTTCATGATCCAGCCACTTTCTCCTAAGCATCTACCTAATACAAATGAAAACATGCATCCACTTGAAAGCTCATAAATAAATGTTCATAGCAGCATTATTCCAAACAGCTAAAAAAATAGAAACATCCAAATGTCCATCAATTTATAAATGAATAAACAAAATATGGTCTATCCATACAAC